AAGAGCGATTAGATTGAAACAGAAGAAAACGGCTGATAAAATTAAAACACATTCTTTACGATAACAAGTTGTGCAGTAGATCGATCTTTTATATCTTTTTTTTTCTCTAAGTCTACCACAAAACATGACTTTCCCTTTAAATATAAAGTTTACTTTGGGCAGGACAGACGTTAGCCTATGACTTAGTACCCAGATCTTGTGACTTCTGTCTTTGAACAGAAACCATGATTAACAGCGGACAAGAACATGTTTTTCTATCCTCATTTTTCATCAGACCTGAGCGATGAATGAAAAACCGAGAGTCTCATTTGCCTCGCACAATCGTCAACATTCCTGCCTCTCTTTTTCCACATGACTTTTTCCCCCGTCTCGCGTCCCGACATTCTTTTTGTAATTGCCACACACTATCAGGCGAACATTGCCTCGGTTGTAGATTATTTCTCCTCCTCCCTTCATGAAAAGAAGCACTCTTGATTGATGAGCAGTGGCAGAGTCTTAATGTTTACCATGCCTCTTCCTTTTCTTGATCCCCTTGACTCATCTTACCTCTCCGCTATCAGGCAAGACGCCTGGGTAGATTACCCCAAACATCCCCCGCTAAGCGTGTGTCGTCTTCAAATATCTCAAATTGGAACTGCTCACATACCCAGATGACATCTGTACTTATTTCACTCTTGACTTTTTCCCGGTCGTGAGGCTGCATTCGTTCTTGGAATTAGACCTGTCCTGTGGTTATAATCTTCAGCCTAGGGGTGTACACAACGTCAAGTCGAAAATCGTCCACATTTTGTGGCTGGACACGTAGGACAACAAGAAAGCACCCTCGCAGTTTTTAATTGCTTGGTTGTTTAGATTTTCAGGATGAGTTAGCCCAGCTGATAGCGCTATAAAGGTCCCGCGTTCTTATGGTGTGTGGCTTGAAAAAGGCTTCCAAAGAATAGTAAACTGTAAAATGTATCTTGTTAGAGTACCTACTCATCCCTTGGGTACCCATTGAGTTCCAACAATTAAAAACATTCTTCCACAAATTCTGTGGACAGGGATCCAACTCTCACATTGTGCATTGTAAACATCTTGTATTATTCTATCATGGTATTTTTTTTCTGCAACCCTGTAAAGTCAATAACTAACATACGCATGTGTGAGATGCCAAGCGATTGAAGCGATAAGGTTCAGCATTTTCTAAATTCTCTTAATCAGACAACCAACGCATGCGCGTCGGGTCAGTGACTATACTTGGTTGCAGAAAAAAATACAATTGCTTCCCATGAACACTTGAAGGTTCATGATTGCAACAGGTTTCATAATGCAGGGGCCTTTGAGAGAATGTGATTTGTGGCAGTTCAGGTTGTAATATGTACCACAGTTTATAAACAAACGTACAAAATGTTACTGAATCGGCCTTCGACTTGCCGTAATTTGCAAGGATCACCTTACCTATTTCCTTGTACTTTGTGCTGCAATACCAGTTGTATTAAAACAGGGGTCCGATATTTAAATTACATGATGCTACAGATACAATCGATCCTTTTCAAGCATTTTCTTTGCACGATTGGTGAATAAACATAATGTGAGCGCCATTCAGTTTTATTCAATTCTGTTCCCGAAGTTGTTGAAGGCAATACTTTCACGTTGAAGAGAATGCTGTAGATTTTTATACTCAGTCTTAAAGATAAAGGGAGTCCCCAAAAAGTTGTGCAAGCAGATATCCTTTGATTTCTCAAAAAAAACCCTGCTTAACACGAGTATCTCGTCTTGATGGAGCATATTATTTATACTCTTTTGTATATTCAGTAAAAATGCCACGGAAATCTGTTCGTGCAAACCAGAGAACTAGCAGATTATAAAAGGCTATTTTTTCACCCATTCCAATGGGATGAGATCAACAAAGACCTGTAACTTGACACAGCCATCTCCCTTCACAACTACATACAACTGCATACCAGAGGGCAGCAGTTGACGAGTTGTTGTAAAGTTTTTTTGTAAACGCTGCGCAGGGTTAAGACAGTTAACTTAATTTACCTCAGAGTGAAAAGGCCCATGACAATCAGATGCACTGATAAACTGTGTAAGTCCCATTGGAATGGGTGAAAACCCCATAGCCTATTACAATCTGTTAGATCTCTGGTTCGCATGAACGGATTTCCATGACATGTTCACTGATTGTACACAAGAGTATAATTAATATGCTCCATCAAGATGTAATACTCATGTTAAGTATTTTTTTAAAAATTTAAGAATATCTGCTTGCACGACTTTTTTTGGGACACCCTGTGTAACAAAAACTTTGGTAAAATATAATTTTGAGGAAAAGGTGATATATGGACTTGGTAACTTAATTCTCTTTTGTGACCTAAGGTCAAAGTTCATTCCACTTCAACTTCAATTGGCAAATGAAGCCTTTCAATATATAAACGTGAACGGTGTACGGATAACGTAAATAAAATGTGAGCTATGTAAAAAATAAAAATCGAATTCGTGAATTATACACGTGCTTTTTGTGAAATGTATACGTACATAGGTTTTAAATTTAAAAATGTGGTCAAGCATTAATATTAGGACCGTCAGATATGCACATCCTTAATAGTATTCGCGCAAGCTTAATTAATCTAGCCACGTCATTTTTAATCAAAGTGGAAGTATACCTTACTGTTCACATACGGAGAGGTTTAGTATCGTTTTTCCTCGTAGTACAACTTACAGGACTTGATTGGCATGATTAATTCAGTCGGAACTTCATCTGGGCGACGTCTGAAGATATAGTCGTCCGTGTAACCGGGCCCGTGTAAAGCATCCCCCGAGGGGAAAGAGGAGGTTGGTCCGGTAGGCAAATCAAGACTTGACAGCCCCAGCACCGTATAAATGCATGGTGATGTTGCTCATTCTACTCCATTGGATAGCACGCGAGACCTATTGGTTGGTCAACCACGGAGCGTATATTGCCTTAAACTGACAGCAAAGAAGTACGCACGATTAATCGCTTGGGGGTAATCCATTGCTTTTTCTGTCGTTTAGAATTTTTAACGTTTCTGCTCGGTTTGAGCCGGTGCAATCTACGCGAATCTTTTACTGAGGTTCCGTTGGCTAACATTGAAGATGGACGATGTGGCATGTATTATTAAAGTCAGTATGTCATTATTCATTTCACCATTTCCATTAGTTCCACCGTGCTGGATGCAGGCATTAATAAGCCGGGATGGGAAGTTCAGACACGGACGTTAAAGGTCACGAGACGTGCGCAGTGGTGACTTTTGTTGACTGCTCCATCTTAGATTTTGCCCACAGCGTCCCCAGTGCATGCACAATAAGCTCTGGCCGTCTTGCATGGAAGTCTTGCAGGAAATCTCTCAAACTAATCCCTGCATGCCAGAGCTTACAAATGCAACGTCCAAAAATGCGTGCCGATGGCGCATGTGGAACATGTTTTAGATTTATACCTAGATTTATTGCGATTTGTCCGGTGAAAATACTCTGTCTACCTTTCAGCACGGATGGAATGTTTGGGCGCCCCTCCATGTAACCTCAAGCCCCCCCTAGAATGAGAACCCTGGCTACGCCGCTGTCTGGTTGGCAGCCCCGTTAATTTGGACCCCGAACCCAACAAAAAATTAAGTAGATATCCTAAAATTACGCAAGAATTAGTGAAGAACCAGTTGGTTTAGAATCTACTGTACAGCCACAGAACCTTCCCTACGAAAACATACATTCTGTGCCAAGTTGTTCTTGCAGTCAAATATCAATCAAGTAACTGTTTTCAACGGTTACAAGCTCCCAGCCTTCATAAAGCAGGATTGACTGGCTGTGACTGTTTATGTAACTTGATACAGCTGTACTTTGACTGTTAGGTGATTGATAACACAACTGTGCCTCTACCAGTTGCCTCTTGTTGTCTGTTGACGGAATTTGACTATCAGTGCTTGCTTGAATATTATCTGACTGTTGGGGACTATAGCCTGTGTAAAAGGCATGGTAGGGGAAGTGGATGGATTTTTGACAGACTGTTCAAACAGTAGGAGGGTTGCTGGTAATGTATTTTTTGTTAAACACTATATATACTGTTTCAACGTTGGTTTATTAGAGCGAAGACAATTTGGTGTCCTGATTCAGGGTACAACAGCTAATCAATGATATAGACTTAAGTTGGGGAGGAGTTTACATTTCAAGAAGATCTACTTGTCAAATCAGGGTTAGCGCATGACAGAATCCAAGGTCGATTTGATGCATGTGCATGAGACATTCTGTATGTACACACCCCGGTGAACGGATTTATGTTGGCGTGTCTTGTTGCTCATGCTTCATGGGAGCAAATCGACGTAGAGACGGCGCATATTACCTCACGGCCCGCTGCTCTCCAGGGCCGGGCCGGGGGATTTCGCGCACATTCCTTAACTTAACCCAATTTGTTCACAGATGTACGGACCGATCGATGGCTTAAGCTGACAAGTATTGACGGCGAAGAAGACAGGACTTGTCGACGGAGAACTCGGGACTCCCGGGATCCAAGGCTAATAAGAGAAATACCAGGAAACCAAATGGCAATATTGTCATAAATTTCAAAAGGCCTATATTTGTTTTTGGCTAATTTGACGTGCCCGTCCCTTCGTGCAAGTGGCGACGTGATTAGGCCCGAAGGTCAAATCGCTGAATGTGAACCGTGAAAGAGTGGGACAATTCTAGCCCCATCGAAACAATACCTTGAATCTTTATTTTGTAAACGTTAGTCCAAAATAGATAGTTGTGTCAACAATGATTGTAACAACGCATAGCCCACCACACATACCACACCACGCCCTATCATTGTGTAGATAATTCGATAAATGGAGTCATATTCTTTGTCTTTCACAAGCTTCAGGGAAGAGACAGCGCATGCTCAAGAAGACCTTTCTCAAACGCCACGCCCAGCACCACACGGTTGTACGCCATACCGCGCCCATGGCGAATCGTGCTGTTTTAAATGTTGCTATATCGAGTCGTATTCTTTGTTCTTTCATTATAGTGTGGGCAACGAGACAGTGCACTCTCACGAAGGTCTCACCAGTCCGCAGAGCTGGGTCAACCACGCCCACAACCACACCCAGTCGGCCACGCCCTCTCACCGATCCAACGTCTCCTCCTCCTCCTCCTCCTCCTCCTACACCTCCAACGCGTCCAGCGTGGACGAGTCGCTAGCCGGATCCGTGGGACCCGAGAAGATGCCCGTCGAATCCTTCCAGGACCCGTACGATATGCCCGAGTCTAGCTGGATCTTACTGAATCTAATGCACACATACGACAACCGGATTCGGCCCAACTTTGGAGGTGGGTTTTGAGTTTGAAATATAAATCCAGGGTGGTTTAAATAGGCCATGAAATGATGTTTGAGAGAATGAGAGCGCTACATAATAACGTCTTTTTGGGGTACGAACAAAGGTGGATTCCTGGTTCTGGACGTCAGTTCACAGTGTTACCAAATTCAAAATTTATATACATGTCAGAGGCGTAGCAAGGTGAAAAGGGCACTCGTACATCCGTGCTGAAATGTAGACCGGTGTTTTCTCCAGACACTGCTTCCGTAACATCAAAAAGTGTCCGAGTTTGTTTCTGCATTCAATAGGGGTCGTTGAATATTAGAGGACAATAGGGTCCACTATCCCGAAGGTCCACAATTGACGATCGTGTACAAAAAAATATGGGAGGTCTTCCTAAAAAGTTATAGTACAAAAGAAGAGGGACAATAGGGGGTTCCCGATTGCAGGTAAGTACACACTTGTGTGCTTGTATACATTGTATGGCTTTACCATAGAGGACAGATACTCAAAGGGAGAACAAAGAATCCTTTCAGTCCTCGAGCGTGGGTCTTTTGTTGAAAACTATGCTTGAGAGACAAAACACTCCTAAAGCTTCAAAACGATGAAACAGTGGAAAACAAGCCGCACCATTGCTACGAAATCACACAGCATTAGAAGCTGGTATTATCCCGACTTCATGCCTGAGAATGTAAGAAGCTCATTGCGCGATCGTGCGAAAGAGTCTAATTTTGCTTGAATGAGAGCTAGTTGTTTGCACAGCAGGCACGCGATCACATTTTATCCACGGTACATATATTCCGGCCGGACTTCGACACCATGCCGCCTCCAATCCGCTCCACCCTCAATCCTCGTTAGTTCCCGGGGAATCTCGTACTTCACTTTACACCGGCTGCGTGATCCGAATCCACCGAGACATTGGAGTTAATAGTTTGCTCCCGCTACAGCTTCCGATCTGTCCCGACCCCCCGCTGTTTGTTCCCCCTCGATAGCATGGCTGTTGGTGCGACTTCCCTCAATCCGCGTTGCCAGACCGCATGGAAGACGGGATGTGGATCATCATCCAAGGCAGTGCGTCTGTTAACTGAAGTCGGCTCTCTAAATCTTGGCTTGAATTCAACGTGATTTCGCGTGTTTGTTGTGTAACTTTCGAATGTCGAACTCAATCCAGTTGTTGGTTTGCTCAGTTCAGTTGGTATGGCTTCAAAACCAGGTTTGAATGACACAAACCGAAGTAGCAACATTCTCCTGCTACTGTGCTGGCCTCTTGGGAGATGGTTACTTTAAAGCTGGCACATTTTGTGCCCGCGAACATGATCACATTTTGAGTGTCCTGGTTTTGAGTGAAACAGAGACATGAATCATAGACATTGGACATAACCCAGACCATCAATTCCAACTTCCGTATATTTGGGGACAAGATTTCTAGCACCTTGTTCAAAAATGACTGCGTGACTGTTTTTTGGATTTAGCATTAAGTCTTCCTCATAAAGTCGTCAGATATCCACGCAACCATGTCATTTCGGAAATGTCAAAAATAAACTTTTTTCAACCAATGTTCAGTTTTGGGGCATATCTTATTACGGGTACCTTTTGGTTCATTATACCAATCACAAGTTACAGGCATATACCTTTGCACTTAAAACTACAGGGTGACCCTAAAAAATTGCCTTTTTTTTCGAAGACGTGATCTGTGAATTGTTATGTTTTGGACATATAAAGCAGATTAAAGCTGAGAACTTTTTCTTTCAATTACTGAAGATAAAAATCATGAAAACAGCACATTGGGTTGCTGAGAAAATGCCAATTACTTATTAAACACAACTCCTTTTTGGTCCATTCAAATGGCATTACCACAGTTAAGGGATTTACACTGTACCTATTTGTGCATGAAATGCATGTGGCGCATTGTGTCCTAATCCTTACAAACGTCACGGCACATCACATGACAAGAGTACAGATGAATTTGATGGAAATCCCTTTTAGTTTCCACCTGAACAGGTATCTTATCCTTTTTAGTTCTATTTTAAACCTTTTTGGCATCATAAATATGTCGAAATATCATAAATATGAAGACATTGCACAAATGAAAGATAATGGCACAGTGGGCTCAAAGTAACATGTTTCAATGTTTGAAGCAGATTTGCATGGAAAGGATAAAAAATCTGTTCTTTTTTAATTGGCATTTTCTCAGCAACCAATGTGCTGTTTTCAGATTTTTGTTCAGTACTTGAAAATAAATGCTCATATATCCCAAACATAAAATTAAAAAAAAGTCAAATGTTTCAGGGTTGCATTTTGGGGTCAACGACTCACCCTGGATAACTTCGCAAAAAAATTCAATCCAACTAAACTTCTTTGGCAACGAAATGATTGATCGGTTCGTTTGTTTCTAATATGATACTATGTGAAATCATAAGCCGAGACTCGAATATCACGATTTAGAAAGAGGGAAAGAAGAGTTTTATTGCCCAAAGGGTTAGTCAGTCGATAGGTCTCAAGTCGACTTGGTCGTAATCACGGTATAAGTAAGCGTATCCGTGCTCCCGGCATGTCATTTTAAACGTTAAACCAACGCGGTATTTGGTTGCGAGATCATAATAATGCTCCAGGCGGAAATCGAGTGTTAAGTTTGCTTTCGATTTTCCGAGTGACCAATAATTCTGTTGGAGATGCGTTGAGAATGCTTTCAAGTTTAATTAGAAAGATTTTGGACTTACACGATATCGTGTTTCCGTTCCCCTCCGGGAACGTTCGTAGCTGGTATAGCCTGGTGAGCCGCCGTAGGAATGCACGCACGAGCGCATGTGAAACCAGTGATGTCGCGGCTTAGGCGGCAGTTGTTACGACCTAAGCCCTCTCGCTCAATCGAGAAAAGTACTGTTGTTTGACTTTCTACTCCTGGTCTTTGCAAATCGTAATTGGAAGATTTATCATTCAATACACCGATGATAACTTTTGCTGCTAACATGTCTTTGTGATACAGTATGTCCCCAAAAAAGTGTCCGTCTGACAATTTTTGAAATAACTACAAAACCATGAGGTCAATTTGGAAAATGTTTAGTTGTGCAGATACTCCTAAGCTTTGGCCTCAACCCCTATGAGTTTCATTTAATTTCAGTCACACATCACTGCACAATATTGTCAATTGAACACAACAAAATTTTTGGACACTGTGACCAAGTTCCTTGCCTTATTCAATTTCAGTACTGTGTTAAGTAAGCTGTGTAAAATTCTTCATGTTGTAAAAAGGGCTGTAGTTGGGATTGGAATCATTTGCCTGGCTATCAGTCATCAAGACAAGACATCAGTTTAATGCTCAAGGGCGAGTGGTCCCAAACCACATCAGCCTTTTTTTCCTACAAATGCAGGATTTTACACAACTTACGTAACATAACACAGCACTGAAATTGATTAAGGAATGTAACTTGGTCACAATATGTCCAAAAATGTTGTTGTGATCAAATGAAAATTGTGTAGTGATGCGTGACTGAAATTAAATGAAACTCATAGGGGTTGAGGCCAAGGCTTATGAGCATCGCACAACCAAACATTTTCAAAATTGACCTCATGGTTTTGTAGTTATTTTATAAACAGTCAGACAGACGTGTTTAGACATCATGTATATCGGTGGTATGTTTTGCAAATAAAACTCGCCCCTCAGTCAGTGACGTTTAATTTATGTGTCTACGATTGGGGACGATGTGGGGGAAGTCCTGATACAAGGCAAAGGGGGCGGGCAGACTAGACACGATTTGACAATAGGTGGCGCTGTTCACAACAAGAAACGTATATGATTGCCTAAACCATGCTAAATTCAACAAGATTCTGCATAATTTAAATGATCCCTTGAGGGATAGGGTTAGCTAATGTACGTGTAGATAATGCTGGCTTTGCTTTAACGAAAGTTTTTAAAAAAAATTTAGTGTAGCCCACTTTTTTTCACAACTGTAACTTTTTTTTTGCTCATGGCGAAAACATCTAGCCCTATAGTGAATGATCCAATGACCCATCCGCAGTCGAAAACAAGGCTGCTGTGTGTATATTAATGTTTGTTATGCATGAGGCAATGTGCAAATACTGATATCCTACGGAGTATAATCCGCCATATCTTAAACCTCAGGATCAGTTCTGTAATATCCCACAGCTTCCCCAGATTACGGTAATTTCAGGAAAAGGGGAAAAAACACGCTCCATCATCTCTAAAGGTTACATACATTTTTCTTTGAACGCCGTATTTTTTTCTCACTATTCTAATCTGACCCGAGCCGATATTTTAGCTGGCTTTTGTGTAATACCTTCCTGATAAGTTCCGTGTATTTGTAGAATCATGCTATTGCTATCTCCGGCGCCAAGATAAAATGGCAATCTTGAGTTGATGTATACCCTTGGCCTGCTGTAGATAATCTTACCTGTGAGGCTAACGTTTCAACCACTGAACCGACATGGGAAATATCAATCGCCTCTAGCTCAGATCCTCCCACCTTCCTTTCTTTTCTTTACTTTTATTTTTTCTTCCGATGAAAGGAATATTCAGCTTTTGGCATTAAAGTTTGAAATTGGCATTTTCTCCCTGGGAACACATTTAATTGAAACTCTATTCCCTCGGAGTTTTTTTGTTTTTGTTATCCATGGTGCGGGGCCAATGACCGCTTCTCTGATTGGTTCTGTGTAACGACGCAGCGTCGTAAAATCCTCCAATCGGCATGGTGCAGATTCATTGTCGTAAGCCAATGACAACATCGGACCACCACCAAGTGCCAAAGCTTCGAATATACGTTGCTAGTTTGCTTGATATCACTTAATAAGTAAACCACTGGCAAGTTGAGTCAGTTTGAGGCATTTTAGATTTGTTTTTCAATCTTTGGTAGTCTATAAAGGGTAAGTCCAAAAAAAGTAAAAAAGAAACCCAAATGGCAGTATTAATTTTGCATGAAATTTTCCTGTAACACTTTCAAAATTTAGGATATGAAAGCCCAGTCATTAAGCTTTCTTTTAGTACAAGAATCATTC